GTATGTCTCATTATTGTGACAATATATTATGGTGACAGAGCCATGGATTTGGCATCAAACTATGTAGATTTAAGCAATCAAATGGATTTATGATCTTGGGCAAATTATTTGGCTTCTTTGTGAACTGCTCACCTCTCCTCAACAATTTGAGTATTCACATCATAATACCTTCCCCACAGTTATTTTGAGAATGAAATGAGAATGAGGTGGCTCATCTAAAATGCACATCAGGTACATTCGTGATATATGTGCTTGTGCACATGTGTGTATACAAAGGCAGATATTAAAATTTTTAAAAATCTAGCATTCTTCTCTTTCCCATATGACTCAGCACTAGAAGTAGGCACAGGCCTCTGATAGGCTTGACAGCATCCTGAGTACAGTATAACAGTGAATCGTTCAGGTTTTGCAGCCAAACAGACCTAGGTTCAAATCCTGGCTTCTATATTTGGTTGTTTATATGACTTTTGGTAAGTTATTTAAACCCACTAAGCCTGTTTCTTGACATTTAATGGATACCTACCTCAAAGAGTTGCTGTGATGACTTATTGAATGGGTATTTGCAAAGGACTTGGCACAGTGCCTGGCATATACCCACTGTCTAATATATTAGTTTTGTTTCGTATTGTTACTATTATGCCTTTGGCCATTGGTGGGCCCAGGGAAGCATCAGCAAAGTGACGTGAGAGCGTCTTCTCATGAGGCTTGGTTTGGGGTGGCACTTCCACCATATGCCTTTCTTACTTGGGAAGATTCTTTCTTTTCTGAAGCTAGCAGAGTACACATGTACAGGGACTCCTCTTGGGAAATCTGGGTAAAGTTTCTCTTCTCCATACCCTACTGAAGCCAAAGGATTGGCTGTCCATTGACCCCCACCAAGCAAGGGACAGGCCTGGGCGACTTCCCTGGAGAATCCACTGCAGCTCAGTGCTCATTACCTGTTTTATCCCAAGCCTGAAAGAGGAGCCATCCAGGTAAGAAAAAAGGGACCCAGGTCAATGTTTAGCCCAGGTCTCAACCTCTAGAGTATGGGTGTGAGAAGATCATCTGCATTTGATTTACAGGAACCTAAGGTCAAGACCTGAGTCTTCTCTCCACCAAGGGAGATGTTTCAAGTCCTCCTTGGACTCTGTGAGAGTCCTTCAGTGATTCCTTGGAGGCAGGTATTAAATATGACTATCTACTCCTCATCCCGATTTTGAGTTTCAATGACCTCATTCCCTAGTGGAGAACAGAATAAAGTAATCCCTCACCTGGTCCTTATGGTCTCTTTAAAATTGGAAACTCAACAAAAATTTGAGTGGACCAGAGGGTGGACCAGATAGAAGCTGAAACACTAGGCTCTGAGGATCCAGTGGTAATTAAAACACCAATCCTGCTTGCACCATGGCACGCATAATCCAGGGGATGAAAGAGGCCTTTAACAGTCCACATTTTTCTTTTGGTGATACCCTAACCAACAATAGATTCTTACACAATTATAAAGCCCTTTGATGAATCATAAGCCACCATTGGCTCCCTTTTTCTATTCCAAACTTATCTGTCCTATGTCCCATTCTATTAGGAATCCTTTCATTCACAAATTTATGTGTGTTAATTGGTGTAGATGTACCAATTGGGAAACAAGGACAAGTTTAATCCATTAAGATCCAGATTTTCAGCCGCAGAGATCCAGGTAGTATTTGGTGAGGAGACCAGGCTTTTATGGCAGTCCATTCTATTAGAAGCCCATGGACTTATTATGTTAGGGTTCATGGGTCACAGAACTACAGGACTTACCCTGACCACCACATCCTGAGTATTAAGAACTACAGAGCCAGCAAAGACCTGCTCTGTAGGGAGTAGCCTCAACCTAGCCTCAGTCTTGGGCAGGAGTTAGGATCCCAACTCACTAAAAGGTTATTTGCTTCTACTTGCTTTTCTGTATTTGCATGCATTTGGAAAACAGAAATGGTTCAGGGAGGTCATATAAAGCATAAGGGAAGATCAAAATAGCCACTACCCTTCCCTGAAAACTTCTTTAGCCACTTCCACCAAATTATGAAAGTCCAGTGCATTTCCAAAGATGTAACGAGTCCCTTTTGTTCTGTGTGGCTTGACCAACTTAAGAGTGGAAAAAGGATGTAAAATCCTTCATCCTGGAGGTAATTTTTTCGTCCTAAGACAGGTTGCACTTGTCCTATAGGAATGAGAAGCAACACCAGATGCTTCCATAGGTCCTGGTTGGGGCTTAACAAGGTGTACCCCAATGCTCAGGTTCCCCTGAACCTTTAAAACTTCTCCCAATGGTGAATGGGGAACTCCACTATTGTCTGTTCTGGAGAACCCAGCCAGGGCCCAAGGGCAGCTCTGTATATCAGAATACCAGCTACTACATTTAACAACTGTGTTTGACTTGGGACAAGTTATTTAACCTAAGCCTCAGTTTTTCAACTTGAAAATGGACATCGTAATAGGAACTATTTCATTAAGTTGTTGTAAGGATTGAGTGGAATCATGTATACATACCTCTTAGCACAGTACTGAAATTAGTAAATACAGTACCCAACAAGTATTAGCTATTGTGACTCTTGATATCATGCTAGCAGAAAAGGGAAGGAGAGCTCTCATCAATCATTTTTAACTGCCCTGAATGGCAAGACTTTGCCTTATTCTGGGTTCCTTCTGGCTGTGTATCATTCTGTGAGTTGGTGAGGCACAGAGCTTTTGAGTACCCTACAAGAAACGAGGCCACTGCTAATTGAACGAGGCAGTGAGCAAATGTTAATTGTAAGAAAGATCAGAAAGATCTCCCATCGTGTCTTGGTGCTCCTACTATTGCATTGATTAACCGTGAGCCAGAAAAATAAGTGTGAAAAAAAAAAAAGATCTGTGCACTGATAGGTAGGCCAACTGGGTGACCTAAGGACTAAGCAGGGAAGGAGCTGGGGGAAAGTTTTGTTCAGAGCCTTCGTAAAGTCTATCTTGCACCTTTCAGGGGCCATGCTAGGTCTTTTATCAGAGAAAGATTCCACGTCCATCATTTAGTTTATCTGATATGTGCTTCTAAAGGTTCCGAGAGCAGGCAATGACTCTTTCCTTCCCTCTGCTGCTGTTAAATGGGATACACAACCAGCTGATGCAAATCTTTTTGGGAGAGAAGTGATGTCCAGGCTCCACGACTCTTTAGCAAGTTTATGGGAAGGTCCTTTAGTGGCTGTGACTCAAGCTAGAACATAGTCAACATGCCAAGGGTGAGAGAAGTGTTAGCTTCCATCTCAGCCCCAAATATCCTGGGATAGGTCTCAGTAAGAACTAGTCCTTCTATTCCAACTTGCAAATGGAACTCAAGGATTGCATGGGACTGAAGGATTGCATGGGACTGAAGATGTCTCTAAATTCCAAGAACACCTGGGCTCTATTAAGGCAGGACAGGGTCCAGGTCCTTTACCGAGGGCTCCAGTTTTCTCTAAGTAAATTATTTCTAGTGGAGAAAAACAATCTGTGGCCGCTGGGCAGAGATTTGTTTTACAAGAAATGAAGGGACTGTTGGACCAGAGAATGGTTTTACTCTGGAGCTCCCTCTACTGGCTCTTTGATAGAAATGCCATAGCAGTTACTCCGCCCTGCCCTGAGGGCATTGATTCGAACCATCTGAGCATCTTGGTACCTTGAAATAAGGAGCAAACAGGTGTCCTGAGGCACAGGCAAAATAAAACTCCAGATATTGGTTTCTTCTGCCTCCCTGATAATTTCATCTAATGTTTATTGGGTGCCAACACAGTGGTAAACATTTTATTTGCATTATTTCATTTAATACTCACCATAAGCCCCACGTAGCAGGGTTTTGCAGGTGAGGCAGCTGAGACCTCAAGAGATTATATAAGTTCCTGGTGTCACCAGAGACTAGACCCCCTTAGTGACCCTCATCATCTTTATGATTCTCCTGAATGACAGCTCAAGAAAAGCAAGAACCAAGGAACAACGTGAGATTGGAGGTGGAACTTGTTCTAATCATCTAATATAAACAGGTTGAGCTGGCTCTGAAATTGCTCCATAAACTTCGTGGGTCTTAGATAATTTCAGTTCTTTTTTTTTTTTTTAAGTTCAGCTTATGAGGCAATTAATTACATGGCAACGCTTGTCCAGTTTGTGCTCTCACTGTGATACCAACTGTGAAACGAGGGCCAAAGAAAGCAGAGTAACTACCACAGTGACTAAGAAGAATTTCCATTATAGAGATGAGGACTTTTTTAATTTGTGGAACATGCTCACACCTATTTTTCTAAAAATAAAATCCCGTGATGTAGGTAGGGCATGTAGCGGCACACACATTTTATAGGTTGGGAATTTAAGATCTTGAGTGACTGGTTCCAGGCTCTGCTTAGGGGCAAATGGCAGAATCAAGACCAGAATGGTCACCATCAGGTTAAGTTCTGACTTCCTGGTTGGTGTTGGTTGGAACTGAGGTCTAGGTTGGGCTTTTTAATTACAGAAAATAAAGATTGTGAAATTACCTCCTTACGTCTGTATGTTTTACCTACAGATCCTTTCCTGAGTTGCTCCTTTCCATTTGGGTTGGTTCATCATTGAACTCCCTTGATACAGAGCCATTTGGGAATTAGGAATTACATAGCCACTCATCTTTGCATTGTCGGTCTCTCGCCAGTCCATATTTTAGAGGTATCTAGGCTCCTGGGAGAACCTCAAATATTATTTCAGTTCTCCTGTACTATGTGAAGATGTAAGCCTTTTCACCTCACCGAGGAGAACCTCAAAGCATTTCCATATTGGTTCTTCTTGGGGAGTTGAGATGTGGGTAAGTAACAGGATTCCCATTCCTGTACTGGGTGGGGTTCTGGTCTCCAATTTTACTGCCAGTGTGTCTCTAAATCTACACAATGGGATGACCTGATATTATCCAGCTCTCTGACCCCTGATTAGGGCCTCCCATTAGCTGTCCCTTCCTCTAAAGGCAGAGTGATGTCATAATGGATCAGAATGGTCCCTGCTGGTAACACCACGGAGATAATAAGAACAGACTTTCTGCAGTGCCTCCTGAGTGAGTGATTGGGTTGTCATTGTCTAAACAGAGCAGCTGGGTTAAAGATATTTGTCCACGATGTAACCTCCTGGCCCTGAGCTACGGCTGGAAGCAGCTCTTTCTGGTTTGACCTGTTAATGCCACAAACTCCACTTTGCCAGAAATGTGACTTCTTGATGAATAGTCGGTCCAAACCTGCCAATTTGGAGTGAACTCATATTTGGTCACCTGCTGGTAAGACCCTTTCCCCAATGGCAGCCTTGAGCATGTGCCCTTCATGGTCCTCCCATCCCCAGGAAAGCCCAAATATAGCCCCTGTGGAGGGGGAGGGGAGAGCCAGGAACTGAACGCTCACAGGGAATCGCGAGTGATGGAATATGGATTGCTGACCCCACGTCCCTTTCCTCTTGCTTGTTGTAGGAGCGCCAAAGACCAAGAGGAGACCAGATGAGTTTCCAAAGCAGTCCTCACACACCGAGGACGCACCTCATCCTTTGCCTCACGCTTTCTGCAATGTTGCTGCTCACGTTCATCTTCCTGCTAACCCTTGCCATAATAATCCCTTCCTGACCACCATCCCTTCTCCATTCACCACCCACTCAGCTCCTTCTCTGAGGTGCCCCTCTTATGGGCAGTGGCTTTAGTCTCTGTTTGGCAAGTTCCCTTTTAAGTTATATCCAGATGCCTGATGTTAGTTTCCCTCTTTCTCATCCCTGACTTTTGCCAAACTCGGCCAAACACTCATCCCCCTGGTCAAGAAACCCATAGCAAATCCTATTTCTTCCAAAATGAAGTTACTAGACATTCTACCAGAGCAGTCACACTCAATGAAGGGGCCCAAGATATATCTGAGTGTGATGTTATTGGAATCACATGGAAAAAACAGAAATTCCTGAATCCCAGTCAGATACAGTGAAAGAGCTTACTCATGACTGTTCGGACTGATTGAGAATGTGGAGGTAGGAGGAGCAAGAACCTCAGAATTGGATTACCCCTAAATACAGGATGGAATCATCTAGATTTTTTTTTCCTCCAATTAAATTTGCATTTCATTCACCACATTGCAATGGCTTCACTTTAGACATTTTCATTCGAGACCCAAGGCTTCTCTTCATGGGTCCAGAGCCACAGGTTCCTGGATGGTGAGGTAAGTGGCATTTGCCGGCACTGTCAAGGGTAAAACACCAGTGATGTTGAGTCAGATCCACCCTGTTAAGCCCTAAGATTTATCCTCTTATTGGTCCCTCTTGACTCAAATGTCCTTCAGGGATCCCCAGCCCAGCCATAGATGTTAGTCTAGCCTCACAATGCTAATCTACACCTGTGCAAACAAAACAGACCCTGAGGATTGACCAAACCAGGGTTTGTTGATGTCATAGCACTCCCTTTCTCAAAGACAATCACTACAGAAATGTGGCTCTCTGAAAACCCACTATACTTAGAAAGTGTATTTCTTCCCCCTACCCTTTTCTTTCTACCTTTATGGGTAATCTAGGACCAAAGAAAGATGCCAGTTTTTTTTTGTTTGTTTTTGTTTTTGAGACAGAGACTCGCTTTGTTGCCAAGGCTAGAGTGAGTGCCGTGGCGTCAGCCTAGCTCACAGCAACCTCAAACTCCTGGGCTCAAGTGATCCTGCTGCCTCAGCCTCCCGAGTAGCTGGGACTACAGGCATGCGCCACCACGCCCGGCTAATTTTTTCTATATATATTAGTTGGCCAATTAATTTCTTTCTATTTATAGTAGAGACAGGGTCTCGCTCTTGCTCAGGCTGGTTTCGAACTCCTGACCTCGAGCAATCCGCCTGCCTCGGCCTCCCAGAGAGCTAGGATTACAGGCGTGAGCCACCGCGCCCGGCCAAGATGCCAGGTTTTCACATGTGAGCTGAAGGTATCTCTTCTCACTGACAAGATTCAGATCCAGTTCATTATTTAATAGCTTTGCTAATAAGTACAAAAAACTGGACAACCCAGCAGATATGGTTAGTCCATTCTTCCTCTATGTTCTACAGCCTATACTGGGAATTAAGGAAATACAGTCCCCATTCTTTACTCTTGGCCAATCAGACATAGTAATCCAAGCTTAGTATATTAGCAACTACTGGCAAGACTGCTTTAATAGTGAGCGGATAAAAGGTTCTGCTAATTAAGACCCAGTAGACCCCCAGGAATTTATAACTGAGCTCTCTCTGCCTGCTGAATTCAGGTGGGGCAGACAATTGTCCATCAACTACAAGATAAAGGCTAAACTCATGCAGGTATCGCTAAGCATCCCCTAGATTGTTCTTTTCTCTCTATGGTCCGTGCTTTTCCAGCTCTGATACTTTTCTAGCTTGCCTCTGCTAAAGTACCCTGTGATCTTGAGTCCCACCCCAGCTTGTCCCTTCAGCCTCAGCCTCCTATCATGTGCTTGCTCTGGCTTCCCTGTCTTTGCTTAGATGCTCGCCATGAAACCCAATTAGATATTCCTCGGTGACTCTCTAGGTCCTCATTCTCCCAAATATGTGAGGCATGGGCTAACCTATCATCTGGTTCTCCAATGTGTTCAGTGGCTAGAATTGTTGGTGGGGTGGGTTGAGGCATTTGAAAGAGTATGCTCCTTGATAATGGGGTTATACAAAGAACGGATATTATCTTAACTGTTCTGAAGTTGAACAATGTAACTACTTTCAGTGAACAGAGAGTTGGGACTATTTTGAGTTGCTGATAGCAACCAAAAAAAGTTGTGAAAGAGAGTGAAATTCCAGTGACTTTCCTCTAGCTTTCACTGGTCCTTAAAAACATTCACCCTCAAACCTCCAAATATGCTGGCTTTTAAGAAGTGTTTCCCAAGACTGAATGTACTTTTGATCAGGGTAAGTGACAAAACCATGTGTTTAACAGGGAAAAAGGATCATGGAATAGCAAATATTATGCATGCTGCGACTTATATACCCCCACCATGCTAATGGCTCGGCCTGTAAAGTTTTCATAAACAGGAAAATAATCAGAGATGCCAGTTTATAAAGAAATGAAGGAAGACGAGAATGACTAGCTAACTCAAAGTGCAGATTTGCTGCTGTTCTCACTGTAAGACAACTTTCTTGGTAGACCAGGGAGTTCCCAACTTTTTCCTAGTGCCACCCAAGGGGCTTCCTCAGTGGGAGTGGAAACATGTTTAGGTGCAGCAGCCTGAATGGACATCAAGGACATGAGTAGCCATCACTGCATCTCCACTCCAAATTGTCTGGTTCCAGACAAATCCCTCGAGTTTTGGATAAAGCTGAACCAGATGGAGCTTTCCTTGAAATAGGAGATAGAAGTCTCTACTCACAGGCAGACAGCCTTGCATGGGGAGGGGGGGCATTTATTGGCTAAAGGGCTCTGTAGGAGAAATAAGTTCATTACTCAGAAAGTATTTGAGGTCTATGGCCATACCACCCTGAACGCACCTGTTCTTGCCAGAAAGTGTTTGAGAAAGTCCCAGACGCCTCCAACTCCGAATGATGGCTAGAACTGGAATATTAAAGACCAGAGATTGGAATGGAATAGAGGCAGCATGAGGGAGTTGTGTGGGCCTGAGTGTTGGAGCCACGCAGACATGAATTTGATCTGGTTCTTAGTTTCATGCCTTCAAGCTCTAAGACTTGTAGACAAGTTGCTTAAACTTTCTGGTCTCCATTTCCTCAGCTTTAAAATAGGAAAAATAATAACTAATGTTTTCAGAGTGATTTCTGTGCTCAACAACACAATGGGGTAGGTACCATTATCATCATGACACCTATAGAATTGCCTTAAGGATTGAATAAGGCCATTCATGTAAAAATGTCCAGCACAGTATCTGGCATATAGTTGGTGCTTGAAAACCATTGGTTTCTTCTCTCTCCCTTTTCCTTAGGCCAAAATAGTTGTGCTTCCTGATCAAGACACCTTCAAGCGAAGAGATATCCCTTTCCCAGACTTCCTCCCTGATTCCCCTTGGTTGATTTCCTGGGAGCTGGGCTTTTTTCCTCCTCCAAACCCAGTACTTTACCTACTGGCATTTTTCGTGGTGCTTGGAGAGGAGACAATAGACACAGGCGGGATGTTCTGGGCTTCACTGACCTTGAAAGAGAAGAGGCTCAGTTGTTTTCAAGGGCTGCGTGACAAGCAGCCTACTCCCACGGGCCCTCTGGGGGAGCATTAGGGGAAACGAGTCCGCCTCATGCGTGGGACGCCCAGGGATGGGCTGGCAGCGTGGAAGGCAGTTTTCGTCTTGGACAGGTTCCACGTCGGTCTATTAATTGCCTGGGTCTTTAGCCTGACTGCTCAGACAGGAATTGGGCACCACAATCCTCAGCAAAGGATGGTGGGATAGCTCGGGAAGCCAAGGTCACCAGCTCCAGCCCAGACATGCATCAAAGGACCTGACTGAGGAGTAGGGAAAATGGAGATGCTGGCTATGGAGGGCTAACTTTCTGCAAATATCTCTGCTGAGCTTCCCAGCCCTGCTCGCTCATTCCAAGCAGTCAGCTTGATTACTGTAGCAAGACAGAAACAAGGCAGAGAGGCGCCCTCTTCTGGGAGGGAGGAGCAAAGACACTGGATTCACCAGGCAGCTGGGGTTACATTCGTATAATTTTGGCTGCTGCCCTCAAAAGTTCTGATGTTCAGAGCCTCAGTACAATTCTTCCTTTTCCAACTCTACCTTATTTGTTAAGGCTGTGTTCAAGGTTTGCTTAAAGCTGCTAGTGACGGTAAATAATTCTGTCTTGGTCTCGACATCAGACACAGTAACACCCAACCACCAAATGTAACATAGGAAGCAGGTTACATTCTAAATTCCCTCTTCTCTCTATATAGTTTATACAGTCCACACAGAAACTACATAACTTCCGTGAATGTGCTCACATACATAAATTTATGCTTACACACACCTAATCTCATATCTGAAAACATACTTACTCTGTGCTTTTAAAAACATGCTTAGCCTGACATTTTCATTAATCCAAGATGACTTCATTGAAACGCTACTGGTGTTTCCTGTCTGTCTGGCCACATCTGATGACCCCATGTGATAAGCCATCTTCAGCGCAAGAACCAGGGCCACCTCTGTCTCATTGATATTTCTCCTGACTGCACGCCTCCCACTTCAGCCACACTCTGGCATGCATACATACATGCATTTGTGGAGCTAAAAATAAACAGCCGCTGATGGGTTGCCAGAGGGTGTCCTCCGTACTGAGCAGACGTCCTCTGTCTCCCTGTTGTAGGCACAGCTTAAGCCACAGACAGAAATTGAGGATACTGGACAGGCTTAAGCTTAAACCAAAATCTCCAAGGCAAGGTACAAAGGCTGGGAGGGCCCGAAGAGGGAGATGTGATACAGGCTGAGCCCTGAGATCATCCTCTCCCAGGCCTTGTGCCTCGAATCCCAGCGAGCCAGCGCTCTGGCAAACTGTTTACTGGCATCAAGGAAAACCATTGTCAGGGAAAGTTGATAATTAGAGTTAAGAAAGGAGATAAACCATGCATCCAGCCACGGCTGTCAATAGCTCTCTGCTTTCTGGATTTTTCCCCTTCTCAGGGCAGAGGTTATGCCAAGTGGGACTGGAATGCTATGTGCATTTGGAGAGGGCGATTTGTGTACATGTGGTTTTGTTCAGATCTTCCAATCTGCAAGAATTCTCCCCACCTCCGTCACTCCATCAATCAATAAACCCTTTGTCATGCTGAGGTGTGGCATTTCTTCTGCTGAGAACCTCAGATTCAGACACATCCTATACACCCTGAGACACACACACACACACACACACACACACGCACACACAGACTTTGTCACCCTCATGAAACAAGCTGCATTCAAATTGGTTTAAAAATAGCACTAATCCATTGAGCTCATTTTTCAGGGACCTTTTTTTTTTAAGTAGAAAAAAAGATCTGGTCTTTGGGAAAGGGTAAACGTCACCTCGCCTTAAAAAGTCCTGATAATGTCGCTGGAGACTAAAGCCTTTGCAGTCTTTGTTGAATTTTTCTCCTCCTCCTACCATTCAGCAAAAGTTGTTTATTCGCTAATACCCTGCCGTGTGGGTATTTATAGAGGTGGGTTTCCTCCTCGGTGGCGAGAAGAGGGAGAAGCTGCGGCAGCAAGAAGCCCTGACCCTCCCCTCTGGGTGCTCTCCGCCGCCGGCACCGCCAGCACCGACTCCTCCGAGGCCGATGGATTTGTGAATCAGCTCCTCCCTTCCCCCACACAGGGGAGCCCCTAAACGGCTGCTGGCCATTTGCAAAGGGCTGGGTGTGTGTGTTTAATTGCGGGCTTATTTGTTCCTGCTCTGGGAGTCTGTCCGTCTCTCTGTAACTCGGATCATTGCTCTCTGGGAAGCTGTAGCTGGCTGATTCCGTGGGAGACCAAGCAGGATGCGTGGGCGCAGGAAACAGAAGAAGGGAAAGAAGGAGGGAGGGGAAAAAAGGGAGCAGGACAGAGAGCGGGAGCCTTAGAATCTGTTATTTGCGTCACTGGAGGAGCCGGGGCTATGTGCCCGACAAACACACAGAATTAATCCGAGTTATAGCCGAAGCTGTCTCTGCTACAGTGGCCAGATGCGAAAGGGCGGGGAAAGGACACGCGCTGGATTCTGTGCACAGCCGAGTTTGCACCCGGCGGCGGCGGGGGACGTTTGGGGAGGGGGCTGTCCTGCGGGGCACGCCCCTGGGAGCCCCCACACGCCCGATGCAGACTGGGCTGCAGCCTCCTCTGCAGCTGCCCAGCCCAAGCCTGGGGTGGCGCCCGCCTCGGCCGCCTCGTTTGCTCAGTGGCTGCGCCGAACACAAAGCGCTGTCTCCGAGCAGAAGCCTCTTCTGGGCTGAACCAGACCCACCAAAGAGGAGAATCTGCACGTGACGTCAGTAGCTGATGACTGACGCAGGCTGGCAAAGGAGACTCAAGGCGGCTGCTCCGCGCCGCGCTGCCTTCATGAGTCTATTTTCTCCAACCCCCTCGTAGTGAATTACTAGAACGCAAAACACACACAGAGACACACATATGCAGCTTTCAAAATATACATTTCCAAAGGCGGTGTGTTGCAAACACAACGCGATTTTACAGAGCGTGGGTGGGAAACGTGGGAAGGGTACAGATGATTTTTTCCCCCTGATTTGGGAATCTCCATCGTTGATAGCATTAGACTCTAGCGCTTTCCTGGGAAGCTCTGCTGGGGAAGGGGCTAAGCACTCCCCCTTTCCCCAGCATGCAGGGAGTCTGGTCAATGGAGACCTGCAGCTCTAAGAATACAACCGCTCCAACGCCTTCTGCTCGGGGAGACTGCGAGGAGCTTGCAACAGGCAGAGGCAGATGGGAGTTAATGGGAGGGAGGGAGAATATAAGAAATATTTGGGTGTTTTTCTGCTTTGAAAAACATCCTCTGCAGTAATGTAAGTGAGTCCGCTGGTGCAGAAAAAAGTGGGGAGGGGGCGCTTAATGCACATTTAATGTTTTGGACGTAACGTTCCAGCGAAATGCCTTTGTGTGTGGAGGTTTTTTCAGTACTTGCTAAAAATAGCATCAGGGTTTGATCGTGTTCCAGAAATAGACCGAGGGCTGTACTGGGATAAAAAGCCAGCGCGGGTGGAAGAAAACCTGGACATCACCGCATTCCTCCCCCCACAACTATGTCTGGAAATTAATTGTTGGATTTTTCCTCTCCTCTCTCCTCTTTCCACCACTTTCTCTTTCCTCCCCCTATGTTTCTCTTTCTCTCTCTTAAGGAGTTCCCGTTTGGGTAAGTAATATTATGTCATGTGCATGCCGCAGACTGTGAGTATGAGCTGATGCTTACTTTGTGCATGCTCTGGGTTCTTTTTTGGCTGCCTTTGTACCCCTTTCTATAGAGAAGAGTGGGACTGAGTAGGGGGTAAGGGGCATAGCTGTGTGTGTGTGTGTGTGTATATATATATGATGAATTTGGGGCTGCATGCAAAGGAACCGAGAGAGGGAATTCTTGCAGAGCCGGGAATCACCCTGACGAATCTCTGAATCAATAGCTGCTGCAACTCTCTTTCTCGTTATGGGTCGGCGCTGTTGAGCTCGGTTCTCTCGATGGCCCCCCTCCCTTCCCCATTTTCTCTGTCTTAAAGGGTGGCTAGACACGACTTAATGGGCCATCTCTCTGGGAGATTAACGGTGCAATATAGATTAAAATTGCATGGAAGGAGCTGGGTAAAGAGAGGGGAAAATCTCTTATTCCTTTGACAAACCTCTCCGCTTGCTCCGGTCCGGGAACCCGAGACCGCGACCCTGGTCCGACTGGCCCAGCACTCGGTTGCTGTCCATCGAAGATAGGTGCTGAAAATTCCTTGGTCCTCAGTGAGTTCAGTTCCGAGCGCCAGGGGGCGGGGTTGGAGCCAGCAGCAGTTAGCCCCGCCCTGAATGCAGAAGAAGGATACGGGGAGGAGGGGGTTAAGGATGTTCAAAGGGGATAGTCGTGACTTCGGTGAGAGCTTAGGGAAAAGGAGGGGTAAGTGGGAAGGAAAGGAAAAAATTTAAAGGAGGGGGAGTGAAGTGTTAGATTCGAGGATGAGCCAAGGCCCAGCGTTCCAGGAATGGAAGGCCAGTGGCTCACCGGCTTTCCCTGCAGAGGCCAGGCACTATCTGGGTCTCCATTTCTAGGCTTCTGTACCTTCCCGCCAGTGGGTTTGAAATATTTCTCCCCGGTGATGGTGATTCTCAAAATAAGAGGCTATAGGTTGCTTTATTCGGACCCTCGTCCCTTCCCACTCCTTACCCCACCCCCACACACCTACATTCTGCAATTCCCAGGAGGTGTGTAAGGTAGTGTGTTATGGCATTTATCTCATTATTCCCCCTCCCTTCGCGTCCTAGTCATAGAAGCCCAAAATGAGTTTGTGGAATGAGCGAATTAGAAGCCAAAGCCC